TTAGGTGATATCTTCTTTCCGTATCCCCTGCCGTCCTGTGTAAATAAGGGCACCTGTGGGTACAGAAAAGAACAAAGTTACAATGGCTCAGTTTCCTGTAATTCCTCTCAAAAATCACATCATTGGCTGTTTGCTAATTAATAACTACATTGATGATTCACATCTGATGATCATCTCCAATACATTTTCCAAGAATAAGCTTGAAAAATAATGCTATTGTAAAATTATAAATGATAAAGAAAAAAAAAGAAAAAAATCTATTATAATCATTATTATTATCATTATCATCATTAGATAATAACAAGGATAATAATAATAGTAATGATAATAAAAAGCAATAATAATAATAACAACAATAATAAAGATACCAAAACTTGTTTCCTCTCCTCACCTCTGAAGAAATAAATTAGACGATAAAATATTTTCTTTTATTGACAATATATCAGAGATACTACATTTATTACAGTAATGTGTATAAGAAAACAAGAAAAAGGTAAACAATAAACCTGAAAAATATCAATGATTACCAATGATGATGATAATAATAACTAAAAATGAGCTATAAAACAGTAAATAAAAAATTAAGAATAACAACAATAAAAAAAAAAAAAAAAAAAAAAAATATATATATATATATATATATATATATATATATATATATATATATATATATATATATATATATATATATATATATATATTAATATTAATATTAATAATGACAATAACAATAAAATTGATAAGACCAATCACAATAACAGTGATAGTGATAATGCCAACAATAGTAACAGTAATAGTAGTGGTAACAAAAACAATAACATCAATGTTTGTGGTTCTAAAGAAGAAAATGAAGAACAAGAAGAGGGGAAAAAAGGAAGTGATAATAATGATACGGTAAAGGGTCCAAAAAGCAGCCATTTGGCATTTAAAAGTGTCTCCATAAAAGGAAGCAACATCTTTTATTAAATTCTTTACTTGGTTCCCTTTTGATCTTTAACCATTACACTAAATGCCTACAAATCCTCACAAACGTCTTCCAAGAGATTACCGAAATAATCAAAGCAAAACAGAAAAAGTTGGAAAAAACTGTTTGCTTACAAAAAGTTAAGGATTTCCAAGTTTGGTTTACGCATCATTATTTCACACTCTACACATATATCTTATTTCTGTTTGCAGGATGACTAGAATCCAGGGAGTACTGTTAGAAACATGCATCAAATTTGGTTAGAAACAAACAATTAAGATAAGATAGGGGCACATACTTATTGGACTTGAATTAGACAGCCTTCGCTAAGACTTATGTATCTTTTTTCAAGGGCCTTAGCCAAGACATATGTATCTTTTTTCAAGGGCCTTAGCCAAGACATATGTATCTTTTTTCAAGGAGATGCTAAAGAGTCCTAACCCACAGGGATTTTAGATCTAATGCCTCCTCTATTGACATTGGGAATATGGGCATCTATTCCATTGAAAATGTTTGACTCCTTGCTCTGCAATATAGTAATTTAGTAATACTAGGAAACAAGAAAATGACACCTAATTGGGTACCTACTCTAAATTCTGAAGCTTCAGGGAGATTTGGTAAATTACAAATGTGTATAAAGCAAACACTCTAAGTTAGGGACTCAAATATCTGAAGTTAATCTAAAAATGAAATAAGCTCTAAATCCAAAATGTATATTGGCATACTATTTCTTTCGACCATACTTAACAGAGAAATTGCAGGGAAAAAATCTCATATGTACCAACTATGATCAAAGTATAATAGCAATAAAGACAGGAATATAAAAATAGATTAAACACTAATAGCAATAAAGATGATGATGATGATGATGATTAATGATGATAACACTATAACTAATAATAATATAACACCAATAACATTAATATTAATAAAGGATAATGATATTAAGAATAGCAGTAGTAGCAATAGCAATAACAATAATAACAATAATAGCAATGATAATGATGATGACAATAACAATAACAATAACAACAAAAACAACAATATCAATAATAATGATAATAATATTAACAATAATAATAATAATGCTTGTGCTGATAATAAAAACAACAACAACAAATAATAATAAAAAATAAATAATAATAATAATAATATAATAATAATAATAATAATAATAACAATAATAATAATAATAAATGAATAATAATAATAATGAAAAAAAAAATAATAATAATATCACAAGTGAAATATATATTATTAACAACAATGACAGTATGGCAAATAGTGATGAAAATAATAATAATGAAAAAAAAAAAAATAATAATAATAATAACAATAGTAATGAAAAAAATAATAGTAATAATAATAGCAATAATGACTATCAAAATTAACAGTAATATTAGAAATTGACATGATCAAAAACAAGAACAAGAACAATAATGATGATAATAGAAAAAATAATAATAAAAAACAAATAAAATTATAATAATAACAACAACAATAATAATAATAACAACAACAACATCAACAACAACA